GGCTTCCTCTTGCCAGTTCCTCCAGAGCAGCCCCCAGGGCTTCCCTGCAGCCCTGCACTGTGTTCCTCTGGGTTTAGGGGAGCTTATTTCTGGTGCATGCTCTTGATTCTTCCTCTGGTGCTGTTTACACACCGCCCTGCATGTCCTGGCACCCTGGATCTGAGTGCCCATTCAACCCCCAGCTGCCGTGCAGGAAGGTGCTCTGAATGCCAGGTGCAGGCAGACTTCTGGTCTGAAGCTCCTCCAGAGGGAAACTGCTCGGTAAAAGCATTAGTGATTTTCCCACCGAAGCCTGACTCTACAACCAAACCAAATCACTAGCGAGCACACACCTCCCTTGGTGTCATTGCCCCTTGTCCTAGCAGTGGACATGCTCACAGCAGAGGTCTTGTTCTTGGTCAGAACTTTGAGACTTTGGCTGTATTTCCCCCTGCTCTTGGTAAACACTATTCTTCCGGTAGCACGTTTAGGGCCTCCTGAGGTCATCTTGTGCCCTCTGAACAAGTCACAAATGACAGGTGTCTTTCGTACACCTAGGTGGCCAAAGCCAGAGCACCATGATCAGGGTTTCTTTATTTCCTTTTCCTACCTAATTGTAGTTTTAAATTAACTCTTTACCACATTTTTTGCCCTCTATCTCATATTCTTTTGTTTGTTTATTGGTTTAATCAGTAAAATTCAGTTTCATAAGGTGCTGTTTTCACATTGGTGCATGACTTGTCCTTAGGTGAGGGCTGGTTCTTCTAATATCTTCATGATTTTATTGCCTAGAACCATGTTGGTCTTGATGAATCATCTTCACACAGGCATGCATTAAATTGGAGTCTGATTTTTTTCCTGTTGTTTTAGCCCTGCTTGGGTAGGCAGTTGCCCTCATAATGCTTTTTTTTGTTACAGACCGGAGGTGACTGTTTGGGCCAGGCTGGGCAGGTCAGGTGCCCCACATGGCAGCCAGATGTGCTCTTCATTACCACTGGTCTCTCTGGATTCTCTTCCCCAACCTCCTCACAACGGAAGACTTTGAAGTCACTTCCATCTCGACTGCACTGGCTGTGGGAATCTGGAAACACCCCTTCAAGCCCAGTTGGGAGARACAGAGGTCCAGGACCCTGGAGCCTGAGTTCCACTGCCTCTGGCCTGCCTGCATTCGGTCCCTGGCTTCTCCTGCTGGCCTTGCTGGGGTTCTTCTGCCCTCTTCCTCAGCCCACTGGTCTTTCTTAACTCTGTCTCAGTATTCTCTTGAAAAATTTAATCTATTCCCCACCGCATTCCTAGAGCCCAGGTCTGTAGCTAGTAGATGGCAGGTGCTAAAAAAAAAAAAAAAAAAAAAAAAAAATCTGTTAAAAAATGAACAAATTAACTTAATGAAGTATCCACGAGGTGGCACTTTATAGTTACCTATTATAGTTAACATCATGTTTCTTTTTGTTCCTTGATGTGTTTAAAGAAGACAGTGGGTTTAAACCTCTTTTGGTGTCAGAACATAATTTAAAGACTACAACATGCAAAGCCCTCCTCAGTTTTCAGTCAAATGTGGAGTTTGCTGCCCACACAGTGTTCATTAGATCTGATTGCCATGGCCAAGTGTCCTGGGGAATGCCTGAGGTTCTGATGTCTTAATTGCCRTCTAGATGGTAATAGGTCTCAGGCACAGCTAGTGTGACAACATCTGCATTCACATGAGACCTGCTGAACGATGAGACACATGTTCCTCTCCTGCCTCCTGCATTTTCCTGATGAGTGTTGAAAGCCAAAAGAACGCCTGGATGCACCAGCCCCAGGCCTGGTTCGTGCCGCTGGGAACTGGGAGAGGCAGGTCTTTGCCCTTCACTGGGGAAGCTCGACCATTACGAGGGCTCAGCGGTTGCAGTACTTCCCACCTTGGCTCTGGGGCACAGTGGCTCCAGCTCTGACCCCTCCATCTGGCAGCCCACTGTGAGTCCTTTCTGTGCCTGTGTATTTGTTCTGGACTTGGGACATGAGCACCAGGTGGAAGTGTTGTGGCATGGGTTCAATGGCTCCTCCAGTGAGGACTCCCAGCACAGACTGGGATACTGARGGTTGCCGCTGGCGTGTTATTCCCATTGACATTGGCTTTCAGCTTTTTTCTAATTTTAAGATTCACTGATTTTCTTGCCAGTGAGAATTTGAATATTATGATTAGTCTAAGTGAAATAAAGATAGTGGCATCTAAATCTACCTGAGATATTTAAAAATAGGGCTATGTGGCACCTAGAGGCTATGTTGGGTGAAGTCACACTGAAGGCTACTTCCTGTTCACAGCACAATTCTATGTGTAGATCAAAATGCTTCCAGTATCAGACTCCTACATAGGCATATAATATGTGGATCAGGTGAATGACAGTAATTATCACCTGTGGACTGCACAGGTATCCTTCAGTTTCAGATTGTGGGATAGCAGAAAGCTCTGTTATTGGAGGCCGAAAGAGGCAGGGTCACCCTGCGCATGCTGTGACTGAGGGGTTTCTGAAGGTTAATATGGTCCACCCAAGACTGCCCATATCTGATTTTGTTTGCTAGCTGTTCTGTTGGCCTTTGGAAGGCAAGACCCAATTTAAAGCTATGAGGAGTAGATTGTCTTAGGTCTGCTAGGAAAATCATGAAGTAACTTTATGTAACATACTGCTGTTTTTATCATGTTTTGTGTGTACTCTGGATTTGATTTGTTGATTGATTAAATTATTAATAGGTATATAAGAAGGAAACATTTCAGCATTTAAATTATTCTTCATAATTTATGAAGAAGAGTATTTGAAAGTGYGTGGAATTCTCTGAGGCAGGCGTTACCACCTGGGTGGCTCTTTCTGTCCTCCAGTGCTTGGCTTCTGGGCATAGGAGCCTCCTGGCTGCACCTGCGTGGCCAGAGGTCTTGCAGRTGCTGGTGGACTATGTGCAGCTGTTGTGTTTTTGCTATGGTTCTCATCCTTGCGGGGGTGTAAGCCATTGGGGGTGTAAGCCATCGGGAGTGTCAAGGAGGTGAATCTCGTGGCTCAGGAACTGGATGCAGGGGAAGGGTGTAGAAAGGTGTCTTGGAGGGCCAAGTTTCTTTTTATTGCAATRAATTCCAGTTGTGTGTATTTAAATCACACATCGGTGACAGGGCACAACCTGCCGGTCCAGGGTTATAGGGAAGCCAATTAATGCATCCATTTGTTTTTGTTTTTGTGGCAAGAACAGCTACAATCTACTCATTTAGCATGAATCTTGTATACAGAATAATTTTATTACCTTGGGTCTTATTTGATCCACGGATAATCAGGACAGAAGGTGAATGTGTGGGGAATTTGAGTTGATTGTGCAGTATCCAAGTTAGGACTGGGACTCAGCAGAGACCTGGAATACGATAAGTATGGAATATCCCTGCAGGGCTAGCATTAGGTAGTATTTTCCTGGCTGTTTCCAGCCTTGGTTCTACCTTCTAGGTCTTGACTATCATTTGGTCCAGAATTCCCAGGGGCTGTCAATCCAGGTTGATTTTCTCTCAGAATATGGAAATGTGGACCATCCGYGCAAGGAGCCTATTCCTATTTGTGCTACTGTTATCACTTAGCTCTTTGCATTTTGGAGTGGTTGTCAGTGGTTTACAGTGCCCAGTGGAAAGGAAGGGTCCTAGGTGTCCCTGCAAAGAGGAGAGACTGGGAAAGGTCACTCTGGGGCCCTGCACTTGGTTCTAGGTGGTGCTACTCTGGAAGCAGCGTGGGAGGCTGCCCTAGGCCTGAGCCACAAGCGTGGCTGCCTGTCTGGTGGTGCAGAGTCTGAGGCGGAGAAGAGGTGCAGGCAGCCCTCTCTCAGGAGCAGTGGCTGGTCAAGCAGTGGATGTTCATGGCTGCCCAGCAAGGGAGCTCCCTGGAGTAATACATCCGTGCCAGCCTGCATCCAGTGGGACCTGTGGGAGAAGAGGGGGAGTAGATACTGGGGGCAGGGGCCTGAGGGGATGGACAGATGGACAGAGCCTTGATTTGCATGATCTTTGAATGTAGGCTGGCATGGTGCCATGTCGGTGTGTTGTTAAATCAAAGACTGTGCTGGTGACTTTAAGCTGTCATCCACTCTAGATCATCAGGCCTTGGGGAGAGCACCTCCAGGCAACTCTGGGGGATCACACCTCACTATAGTCTTGTCCTCACAAAGTAGAATTTTGTGATGTATGTGTATTTGCTTGTCTTAAAAGTGTCCTGGCTGTCTTCTAAATCATAACTTCTGGGCAAGAGGTTCTTGGTTATATCAGAAAGYGAGGTATCCTCTCTGCGTAGTTCAGAGGCCAGTGGTTCTGCTTCATGTAGGTGTTTTACAAAAACCCTGAGATGGATTCATTTACRTGAAACTTTTTAAGCAAAAATAAGAAAACAACTTATTAATGAACTGGTTAAATTCAGGCTCCTGTGGTGGGCAATGGACAGTGCAGCAACAGAACAAATTGACTAACGCCAAGTACTTGTAGTGAGGTCTTGAACTGTGGAGACTTGATTGGGCTGGGATGGTGAAAGGAAGTGCAGTGAGCTCTGCTGGCCTGGCTCTTCCTGAGTGCTGGGGCGCTGGACCTCCCAGAGGCAGCCTGGGTCCTCCTGAGTCCTGGGGTACTG